GACGAGGCAAGCTAACCCGGACCGGACAGGGAGGGGGGGGTAAGGAGGAGGGAGCAGCGCGCCACAAGCCCAGTCTGGGCTCCACCCCTTCACTCCTGCCCCGCCCAATGAAGGAGGGGGAAAGGAGGGACTTGCAGAAGAAAGGCGGGCAGATTGCCCAATGGCAAAACTAGTTCCCTCTCTAAGGCGTGTAAGACAAAGTTGCGTGCCTAGTATAAGCCCCAGAAGCCCGCCCTCTCAGTTTTAAGAACCAATGAAATATTCAATAAGTAAGACGGGGCGGGAGCTTTAAATGATAGGCTTGGCATGAAACCAGTTAACCGCCAGGCGGGCTCATTCAGAGACAGGGATAGGGAGAACTTCGATAGGAATGACAGAACAACGACCAACCAGAATCTTGGACATGCCTGGGCAGAGTCCTGGTTGGGAGGCGAGTACGAGGTGAGCAGGAATGGCAGACGATCCGATTAATTTAAACCAATCCAAAATCAGGCGGGCAGCCAAGAAAGTTATGATTGGATTAACACTGAAAAGAGGCCGAACAGGACTCTTATTGACGTGCACCAAAAACCAATTAAACGCCGAATGAGCTGTGAGGGCGGGAACTTGGAACGGGCATAGGAGAAATGGCTTCTCCCTCAGTTACACAGTCCAATAGGAGAGCAAAATAAGCCAGGCACCGCCTCTAAATTAGCCAATGAGCGGTATTGGGGCCGCCCACCATGAGGGAGGGGAACAGGGCTGTGCCAAGACGAGTTCGTCGCCATGTTGGCCCTCCTCTGGGGACGTCTTAACAGTTTTTAGGTGGTATACTTCCGCAGAACCCTGCAGTTCAACAAGTGTCAGAGCCCAGGTCCTTACCGTGCAGTTTTGCCTCACCATCGTGGGGCTGTTTTCATCTTCCAGTAATGGCTTTCTCAGAGCAGTTTTCCAGTCTCATTTCCTGCCCTGGTGGGCGGACAGGCAGGTGGATGCCTCTCAGTGTGGGTGTAAGCCCTACGAATACGGATGGGACGAGATCTGGTGACAGCGCTCGCAAACTCAGTTCTGAGCCGGCCCCTTCGCAAGGTTTTTGTAAGACTCCAGCAAACGCCATTTTATTAAGCTCTCCCAAACAAAGGAGCTAACCATTAAATTTAGGCCAGTGAATTTTTCAGGATCTCCTTGAAGAACCTCCTGGAGTGGAGCTCTAGGCCACTCCCCCCCTTAATTGTAAATAACGCCTAAGCATAAAGTAAAATAGCTGAATTCTGCTTTTTGCTCTCACGAAGACCGGCCTCCATCTTGCCTCTATCCTGCACATAGTCTTGATAGCTTGTCAATGGTATGTCATTCCCTTTAGCACCAGCATTGTACTTTATATACTCTCATTTCGCTACCTGCAGTTCTGCTCTTCATTATAAATTTACGTGTTTTAAAATATGGATTCTCTAGTGAGGAAATGGAGGCCCTTAAATTAGGAATTGAGGCCTGTGCTACTTCGGGCAGGCCCCGGAATGATGAAATGATTGTCTCCTGTGCTAGGTACCTAAACTAGGCATTTGCCTTTCTTACGTCATCCTTACAAGGAAAATACTCGGTACTAGAGATAGTATATATTTCATTATAATTAAAATTTAGGCTGAGAAGTTTAAGTGACTTGACCAAGATCACAAAGCTAATGAGTTGGATCCTGCAAAGTCTATGAAGGCTTAAGTGACTAAAACAATACCTTGTGTAACCATTTAATTAAATAGGCTTAATAAATTGTTTTATTAAAAATGTTTTTCTTACAGTGTTGGAAATAGAACCATGGCCTCATGCTCTCTAAATATATACTACTAAACTCTATCTCTAATCCAAAACCAAAAAAAAAGTGCTTTTAATACCTTCTAGCTCCTGAAAAAAATCCTGTCCCGACTCAGAACTCAAATTCTATCATCAAAAAAAGTCCATCATAAAAAAGCCCATCATCATATTTTTCTTGAAACTTTTATGAGTTTGTGTTACAATTAATTGCATGAAGATTTTTCAAAATATTGTTTAAAATTTTTTTTAAACAAAATGTCATTCTATTCCCAGCATAACAAAACAAAAAAGTAATGGGAGATCATTTCCATCGGAATTCTTTAAGGTTTTTTTTTTTTAACTTTTATTCTCTTTTATTGGGGTGCTTTTAAAGCAGGTTACAAGAATCCCAATCTAGACACAATAAGAATTTCTGGAGTGGGGCTTGAGAATTTAAAATTGGAGTAGGGAATTATTGAGAATTGAACCCAGGGCTTTCACACTAAAATACAACCCTAGCCCTTGTTATTTTATTTATTTGCTTATTTGTTTAGGGGCATAATCTCCCTAAATCCCTAAATTGTTCTTGCTGGGCTCAAAATTGAGTTCTTCCTGCCTCAGCTTTCTCAAGTACAATACTGGGATTACAGACATTACACCCAGCTGGAACTTGCACTTTTAAGTGTGATTAGTCCTTAAATAAGTTTAAGAAGCAATAAGAGGCAGATATGGTGGTGCACATCTTTAATCCCAGCACTCAGGAGGCTGAGGTAGGATCCTTGTGAATTCAAGGCCAACCTGGAAGGTTGGAAGGTACCTCAATCAAAAAGGAGAGAAAAGAAAAAGGGGATGTAGCTCAGTGCAAAGGCCCTGAATTCAAGCCCTAGTACCAAGGGAGAAAGAAAAGGAAACACCAGTAAAGAAACTGGCAAGAAGCTGCCTCCAGATGGGAAGAAACTTCTACAAGAAAGACACTGCACATTACTCATCCTTGTAAACCAAGTTCTGAAGATTCTAACAGCTGTTTAGTGTATTCAGCAATAGGCCACACCTAACTTGCTAGGGGGTGAGGGGAAGGGGAAATAACTCTGGAACAGTACTCAAAACACTTCACTTTGATTGAATAACTTTATTCTTTGGGGAGATTTAAGAGACTGAACTAGGTGGTGTAGCTTAGTAGTAGAACAGATGCCTAGCATGTGCAAGGCCCTGTTTTTTGTTCTGGGATTTTTTGTACCTGTTTGCAGTACATTATGATTACATTCATCAGGGGTAGTTGGTACATGTACGTACACATTTTAATTTTTACATCCCCTTTCCCGTCCCCTTTCCTCCCCATAGCCCTAGTTTTGATCTCCATCACCACCAAAAGAAAAAAGGGCCAGGGATTTAGCTCAGTGACACTGTGTTGTCCTTGTAAGTCCTGTGTTCAATCCCTGTACCGGAAAAAAAAAACAAATGGGCCAGGGATTTAGTTCAGTGGTTCTGCAGCCTGCCTCACAAGCACAAGGTCCTGAGTTTCATCCCTGGTACAAAAAAAAAAGAACTGTCATTCTCAGAGGAGAAAAGGATCAGATAATTCAGTTAATATGACTATTCTGTATTTCTTTTTTTTCTTTTTCTTTTTTTCTTTTTTTTTTTTTTTTTTTTTTTTTTTTTTTTTTTTTTTTTTTTTTTTTTTTTTTTGGTTTTTGAGACAGGCTCTCACTATGTAGTTGAGACTGACCTGAAACTCAATATGTAGCCCAGACTGGTCTCAAACTCACAGGGATCCCCTTGCCTCAGCCTCCTGAGTGCTCAGATTACAGGAGTGCGCGACCACGCCCAGCCAATTTTCAAAGCCTGTGTTTATCCAATTTTCTAGGCTAGTCTATACCCCAAATTGGAACTAGAGTTTGATTTTATACCAGGTATGGAGAAAAATGCCTAGATTTAAAGCAAAATTTGCTGGGCACAGTGGTGTACACCTGTGAGCCCAAGCCTCAGGAGGCTGAGGCAGGAGGATCACAAATTCCAAGGCCAGCCTGGGGTACATGGTAAGACCTTGTCTCAAAAAAAGCAAAACAAGGGCCAGGATTTAGCTCAGTGGTTCCAGCGCCTGCTTCCCAAGGACAAAGATGCAAGTTCGATCCCAGGTAACAAAAACAAAAAAAGCAAAACAAGCCAGGTGTGGTGTGTGCCTGTAATGCCAGCACTCAGGAGGCTGAGGCAGGGGGATCACTGTGAGTTCGAGACCAGCCTGGGCTACATAGTGAGTTCCAGGTCAGTCTCAACTACATAGTGAGAACCTATTTAAAAAAAGAAAAAAAGAAAAACATAGGCTGGGGATTTAGCTCAGTGGTGCTG